CGTCGGGACTGTGGTGGGTGAAGCTGAGGGGCCTTGGGCCGGGGGCGCTCACATGCCCACGCCACTCTGTGGGCAGGAGTGGGGACCTGGAGGCAGCGGCAGGTGGACCTGGGCTCTTGCGTAGGAGTCACGGAGCTTTAATGGCAGGTGTCCACAGAGAGCTCTGCAGGAGGGGTCCGCGGTGCCCCTTCCCTTGTGTCCGGCAGCACCAGCCTTCCCCATCTCGGACTGAGAAGAGGGGGGCCATTTGTTTCAAGAGTGGGCCTATCAAGAGCTCTGCCCCGTCAGAGTCAGGAAAGCTCTTGGTGTCTTGTCCTCCCCCCGCAGCCGGAAGATCCAACCCAAGTGCCTTCCGCTGCGCAGTTGGTCTGCTGCCCCCAGCCCCATCTTCCATAGAGATGAGGAATAACAGGTGCCCTTTTTAGGTACATGTTTGTGTCCGGTCTCCTCCGCAGCTTTGCTTTCCTGGCTGAGTCACTCCCCCAGCCCCACCCTCACCTCTGCCCCGCCTCCTGCCCCCATCCTGGGCCTGAAGGAGCTGGGACTGGGTGGTGGGGTGGTCCTGGTCCAGAGAGCGGGCAAAGGAGGTCGTGATCCTAGCCACTTGCCGGCTGGCCTTCAGTCCCCAGCACCTGCCCCACATTGGGGTGCCCATGTCTGTGTCCAACGCCTCGTCCACCTGAGCCGCGCCTCTGAGGGGGGCTACGAGGAAGGGTCCTGTCTCAGTCTGCATTTTGGCCAACACCAGCCTTCCCCTCTGTAACCCCCCCCACCCCCCAAGGCCTTGTTCCCTCTGCCTGTTGCCAGGTTCTGAGTGTATTTTTTCCAGAGGCCGCTGATTGTTTCCTGAAGAAACCTGATCCCAGGGCTCAGACAAAAGCTGGGGCTGCCAGAGGAGAAACCCCATTCTCTCCCGCTCTGTCCCTAACCCCCCCCCCACCTTCACAACCTCCCTCGCTTTGGATGCTGGGTATGGGTTCCAGGACCCGGCTGCCATCACCTAGGCAACAGGGGGCTTTGGTTGCCATGGTGATCAATGTGGGAGAAGCTGGGCAGCCGGGGACAAAAGCCCCCACATTCCCCCCCACCCCTCCCCCCAGTCCCCTTGGGATGGTACTGAGACACATTCCATTAATTTTATTTCTGAAAGGCCTTTGGGGGGAGAAGGGTCTTGTTTTTGTGACAGGCTCCCTTCCTTCTCTCTCTCCTCTCTGGCCTCCTTTTAACCCCAGATAATCCATGGTTGGTTTGAGCAGGGGACTGAGTGAGTGTGTTTGTGTGTCTTGGAGGTGGGGGCAAGGTGAACGCAAGGGGACACATTGCTTTTCCCAGCCTCCCACCTGCAAACCAGGGCCCTCCCCCCATCACCCCCCCCCCCCCCAGTCCACACCGGGTCTTGCTGCCCTCGAGGTCCACCTCTGACATTTCCACTTGTTGGTCTCATCCAGTGTTCCCCTCCCCCACCCTCTTCCCTGGGAATCCGCCCACCCAGGAGACCCTCCAGACCCCTGATTCCTGAGCTGATGAAACAAGGGCAACCTCTCCCCTTGTCTGCACTCACCTCCCGTCTCTCCCCCAGCCTCTCCAGATTCGGGTTAGTTCCCCGGGTACTTGAGGGGACAGCAGGCGAGGGTCTGAGAAATTGGGTGCTCATTCTGGCCCCTCTGTTTGGTAGGGGAAGGAGGAGCACATTTAGATGCTTTTTGGGGCACCTTGAGTTGGGTTGGGGGGGTGAAGCGGGCCAGGGGAGCAGGGTGTATGCTGGGTCTTTAATACGTGGCTGGGAGGAAGGTAGGGGCTCCAGGCGGAGTCGCTCGGAACAAAGGGTTGGGAGGGGCTGGCACTCTTGACTGGTTCGAAATTTATCTGTAGGGGAAACACAATGGTCCTGGCTTCCCTCCTGGGTGTATTTGAAGTGGTTCTGGTCAGGGCTGTGTGTGTGTGTGTGTGTGTGTGTGTGTGTGTGTGTGTGACTTCTTTATTTAGTAGTACAAACAGCAGGATTTATTTATACCACCTCTTTCCAAAGTCTCAGAGGAAGTGTGGGGATCGGAACATGGGCAACCCTGAGCCAGAGCATATTAATTCCTTAACTAATTACTAGCTGAGCAGTGTATAGAAGCATTTCTCTCACCCCCAGGGTCCTCACAGCAGCCCCATCAAGGATGTATCATTATTTTCCGATTTTCCCGATGAGCCTACCAGGCTACAAAGTGCAGAGAAGTTAAGTAACTTGCCTGTGGTCATGTAGCTGGTGGGTGGGAGAGTCAGGTTTCGAATGCAGAGCCTTGGATGCAAATCCCAGGCTCTCTGTGCTGTTGTCTCTGGAGATGTGAGTGTTAAGGGTGAGGCTGAGATGGTGGGGAGTCCTGGATCCTCCTCTGTCTAGACCCGGGCGAGGGCAGGTCTGTTCCCCCTTACTTCTCCACCCCCTCTCTGGAGCCCGCTCCTTCTCTTGAACCTCCTGGTGGGAATCGGGCCTGGGGACGAGAATAGGCTGCAACAGGCCAGACAGATGCAGACAAGGTGTGGGAACTGTACTGAGATCTTAGCCAGTAGAAAGGGTTCTCAGGAGCCGGGGTGGAGGAGCCCGATGTGTAATTTGTGGATGGGGTGCTGCATAAGGCCCTGTTCACGGCAATGGTATTTAGAAAGGGTTCGGCTGGGGTTGAGGCTTCATGTCTGTGTCCCCTAAGCGTGTGTCTGTCACACGCTTGCCTTGACGTGGGGCTATTGACAACCATCGAGAGGCCACGGGGGTGCCTCCAGATAGCTGGTAGGGGGATCAAGGAATGGAGGGATAGATTTCATCTCCCCACGGTGGTGGCGGGTTCCCCGAGAGTCAGAGGGCGAGTGCATTCCCCAGGTCATCGTCAGTTTCTTGCCCCTTCCCCCGGGAGGGTGGTGGACACAGATACGTCTCAGTCATCCTTCCTGTTCTCTAGTTGCTGACCGCTTAGTTTAGTGGGAGAAGAGTTAACCACACTGAAACCTGTTTCAGTTCTGAACAACATTGACTTTTTGGCAGCATGCGACCTGGTCGGTTTTATTCCCGCCTCCAAACGCTCTCCTGTTCTCAGATGCTGCGGGAGCCCACTCTTCTGGCCTCCCCCGTCCTCTGGCCTCACCTCGTTGGCTCCTTTGCCTGCTCTTGCACACCAGGATTCCCAGAAACCCCTTAACTCATTCCTCTTCCGAGGGGATCCCACACACTCCCACCTTATACCCCGGCAGCACCTCCAGCTCAGACTCTCCTGAGTCTGGCTCCTCAGAAACCCCACTGCCTCCCTGACCGCCTGTCTCATGGCCTTGAACTTAGTCCGCTGGAAATGGAGCTCACTGCCTTCCTCCCGAGGTCCCCCCCCCGCCCCCGCCCCGTGATGTCACTACCACCTACTCTCTTGCTCAGGCCAGAGATCCTGGGCACTCCCCTCCCCTCAGCCAGACCTTGGTGGGCCCTGCTGATCCTACCAGCATGTCTCACGCCCGGCTGTTGTCACCTCCTCCAGGCGTGCACGCCTGGAGCAGCCTCCTTCCTTGTGTTCCCACGTTCCCACGGCTGCGCTCCCCTCCCCCAGCCCCTGCCTGCATAGCTAAAATCCTTCACAGGCTTCCCCTTGGGCTTGGACTAAAACGCGAGCTCCTCACCTGGCCCAGGGATCTTGCGATAGCTTGGCCCCGGCTACCTGTCCACCGTCCTCTTCCTCAGCTCCAGCCCCACGGGCCGATGCTAGTTCTTGAAATACACCGAGCTCCGCTGCCCTTGGTCTTCCTGAGCGCGCCTCCCTGCCTTTCTCCTGCACTCTGCCTGGGTCATTGCTGCTCTTCCTTCAGGCTCAGGTGTCATTTTCTCCGAGAGACTTTCCAGAAGCACTCAGTTTCTGGTCGCGGCCCCCAGAGCCGTCTCTCCTGGTTTTCCTGTCGTCACTCCTGCAGTTAGTTATTCATACTCCAGTGTCCTCGTTCTGCATGCATCTGCCCCACCAGCCTGGGAATGCAGGGTCAGGTCCCCGCCATACCCCCAGGGCCTCGTAGGGAGCGTGGTGCACAGAGGTGCCTGAGAGTGAGTCGATGGGCCGGTGAGTGAGGCTGGGAAATACGCGTGTGCGTGGCTGAGTCGTGCGTGCGTGACAGAGGTGGGGCAGAGGGGAGGATGCGCGGTGGCTGCTAGTCGTGGAGGGCTGGGCTCTGGGGCCCAGCAGGATGCGGGTGAGGGTTGGGGAAGCGAGGAGGAGAGCTCATTCTTCTCTGCAGAGCTCAAAGGTGAACGTGTAGAATAAAGATGCCGCCCCGAGCACACTCACCCAAGAAGACTCTTGACCTTGCCATTTCAGGGCTTTAGGCTTTTGAATGGTTTCTGCTGCCTTCTCCTCCCCACTCACCCCAACATTATCCATGGTTTCCATTCCTGACCTTGTCCCTTAGTCGTGCGCACGCGCACGCGCACACACACATACACACACACTCTCTGAGCCTCATGGGGAACAGCCAGGCTGACCTGGCCCGTGGCTACAGGTCTGTTTGATGGACGTGTTGGCAAGATGGTGACAAGAGCCCTCCTCCTGTGGGCATCCTCAGAAGTTGTGAGTCAGGGAGAAGGAGAGGCCTCTACAGAAGCCAGCGGGTTTCTGCTGCGTGAGGTCTCTATTGGTCCAACCTGTCAGCCTGGCCAGAACCTGCCCTCTCTGAGCCATGGTTTTCCTGGCTGAGAATAAGGAAGGCGTTACCCTGGTTCTCTGCCCCGGGGCGTCCAGGGTCGGGTCGTTCCTAGTGGCCTTTGCTGGCCGTCTTCCCTGCACCCCGTTGGCACAGCCGAGGGGTGCTCCCCCTGGAGGCAGGGCTGGAGCAACTGGGCCCGCTGGGCAGAGCGGGAACCTGGATGGAATATTCTGAGGTTGTGGCTAGGCTTCCTGCAGCTGCCCTTTGGGGACTGTCCTCCTCTCTGCCCTGACCTCACGGGGAGCTCCAGCTACTTCTAACCAGCTGCTTCCTTTTCTCAGGAGCGCCGCTTCATTTTCTCTGAGAAAAGCCCACTCGTCCAGCAAAATAGAGTCCCTCAGGGTGACGGTTGACTTCCTGAAGGTGCCCCTTGGCCTGAAGAAGCCGGTGCTGAAGGAGGTGGCTGTGGGGCCCCCCAAAAGGCCCCAGCCTGTGGCCCTGGAGCGCTATAAGGCGCGGCGTTCAGACGCCATGGACACCGAGTCCCAGTACTCAGGCTATTCCTACAAGTCGGGCCACTCCCGCAGCTCCCGCAAGCACAGGTGGGCAGGCATGGGGGTGTTGTGGGTGCTGGAGGGTGTGTTGGGGGTGCTTGAGAGGTGGGCGCGCACAGGGGCTGCTGAGAAGACCCAGGTCCCCCCTTTGACCTTCTGTGCCTGTTCCCCTGGCCTCCTGCTGCAGGGACCGCCGGGACCGGCACCGCTCTAAGAGCCGAGATGGGAGCCGCGGGGACAAGTCGGTGACGATCCAGGCTCCAGGGGAGCCCCTGCTGGACAACGAGTCCACGCGAGGGGATGAGCGGGTGAGCATCCGCGGGCACGGGGTCCGGGCCAGGTGATTTCAGGCTGCTCCGTGAAGCTGGAGGTCCATCCGATGGGGAGGGGCCTGGAGACCTGGTCTCTTCGGACAGAGGCCCTATCAGGGAGGGCATCTTGTGTCACACTGGTTCCGCTTGGTGTCCCAAGGTAGGACCCCGCTTCAGTGGAATCCAGGGAATTTCAGTAGAGATCCCTTTGGAAGCCGTAGCTTCTTCCTCCTTAGAGAGGTAAGCTGGCCAGGGCTGTGTCATGGGCGTTTGCCTGGCTCCTCTGCATGGAGGCCCGCCAGTCCGGTGGGCTGGGAACCGGGGCAGGAGGGCGCAGTGGGTGGGGTCTGGGAGGGAGGGCAGCGCTGAGTTTTCCTTGAGCCCCGAGGCGTGGGCACTGCCACGCCCTCTGGTGTCGGCCTGCAGAATCGCATCGCCTGGGTCTGGAGGGAAGCAGGTGTGGGCGAGTCGGTGGAGAAAGGGGGAGCAGGGGGCGCCCCGAAGGACCCTGTCACTGGAGGGGGGCGGCGGTGAGCAGGTTGCTCCTGCTCCAACCTCTGTGGCCCACCGTGCTCACCAGCAGGGAGGTCAGTAGGCAGAACGCAGTGCTGGATTAGGGCAGAGGCAGGATTTGAAGTGACTGAGGTTGCCTGCGTCTTGTGCCTCCCGCTCTTCCTTCTTGGGGGCATCTCAGGCTGGAGACTCCCAGCTCCTTTTCTTTCACAGGAAATCTCTGTGACTGACATTGGGACTTCTGGGTCTTGGGAGCAGATGAGTACCTAAGGGAAATATTCTTTCTCCCTCTTTCCCAGTCCTGTCCTCTCCCTGAGACCTGGCCTCCTGAGTTCTTGAAGGACCCCGAGACATGGTCAGCTCACCTGCTGTGGGGGAGGAGGCCACAAACCCTTGATGCTTGGAGAGGGTCGGCAGCGTGTGTGTGTTGGGGGCATCAGCCTAGAGTGAGGAGTTGATCCAGTTTCTCGAGCTGAAAGTGGTCAGTGCACCCACTTTCTTTCATCAGATCAGACTCCGCTCCTGTCCTTGGGAAGCCCCTGATCACTGACCCTGCCAGGCATCTCCTACACTCCCCAGTCGGTGCCTTAGTCCTGAGAGTCTCTCTCTTCCCATGGAGGGTACAGGCACCGATGGCTACTGGTGGTCTTGGCGCTCCTCTGTGGGATGGTGTCTGGCCTCTGCAGAAATTGCTCGAGTGAACCATACTCAGAAGGACACTGGGGACCTCAGCCTGTCTACCCCCTTGCCTCCAGGAACAGGCAGGCTCTGTGCTGCGGGCAGACCAGAGACCCAGGGTGGCCCCAGTGTGTCATCTCCTATGCCCTACACTGATCATTTGCCTTCTCCCTCTTTGCCCTCCGGGGTCCTCTTCCCTTTGCCACACTGCTTTTTTTCAGGTCACTCTCTTAGTCAGAAACCTTGAGTGGCTTGAGGTCTGGAGAACAGGTGCTTCTGGCTTAGCCTAGTTTGCAGGTAGCCTGCTCAGGCTCCAGCTGGCCATGCCCGGCTCTGCTCCTGGCGTGCGCACCCTGCTCGTCCTCTGGGTGCCTCAGCGCACCCTGCCAGCCTCTGAATGTTTGAGTGATTCATGGGGGTCTTGTTAACATTCAGCTTCTGGTGTGCCAGTGTGGGGTGGGGCCTGAGAAGCCGCGTTTCCAGCAAGCTCCCAGGAGATGTCCATCCACACTGCTGGTCCGCAGATCATGTTATGAGTACACAGGCCTTAGGGATTGTTATGTGAATTCAGTGATTCTCAGTTTTGGATGAACAGTAAAATCATCTGGTTTTTATTTATTTATTACTTTTTTAAAGATTTTATTTATTTGAGAGAGAGAGCGTGCAAGTGAGCACATGACCAGGGGGATGGGGAGAGGGAGAGGGAGAAGCCGACTCTCCACTGTGGGGAGGGCTGGATTCCAGGACCTGGGGGTCATGACCTGAGCTGAAGTCAGATGCTTAACAGACTGAGCCACCCAGGTGCCCCCAAATCATCTGGTTTTTAATTTTTATTTATTTTTTTAAAGACTTTATTTGTTTATTTGACAGGGAGAGACCGCCAAAGAGTGAACACAAGCAGGGGGGTGGGAGAGGGAGAAGCAGGCTTCCCGCCGAGTAGGGAGCCCGATGCGGGGCTCGATCCCAGGACGCTGGGATCATGACCCGAGCCGAAGGCAGACGCCCAACGACTGAGCCAGCCAGGCGCCCCTCATCTGGTTCTTTAAAAAAAAGGTGGTTGGGGATCTGGGCCTTGGTGTTCTTTCCCCAGCTGGCTACTGTGTGCCGTGAGGGTCCAGGTCTCAGAGGCGCCAGCCCTGCAGAGACCAAGCTTGGACACAGAGTGGAGCTCAGTAAATATTTTGGTGGTTGCATATGGGCTGATGGCCCTCTCTGCTCTCTTTTGCCCTGCCTCTGCCCTCCGTTTCCCCTCCCCTCCCCCTCCTCCCTTTCCTTTCGTCTCCCCTCCCTCTTCTCCTTTTCCCCTCCCCCTCCCTCCCCTCCCTCTTCTCCTTTTCCCCTCCTCCTCCCTCCCCTCCCCCTCCTCCCTTTCCTTTCGTCTCCCCTTCCGCTCCCGTCTCCCCTCCCTCTTCTCCTTTTCCCCTCCCCCTCTCTCCCTCCCTCTTCTCCTTTTCCCCTCCCCCTCCCTCCCCTCCTCCTCCCTCCCCTCCCCTCCCCCTCCTCCCTTTCCTTTCGTCTCCCCTTCCGCTCCCGTCTCCCCTCCCTCTTCTCCTTTTCCCCTCCCCCTCCCTCCCCTCCCTCTTCTCCTTTTCCCCTCCCCCTCCCTCCCCTCCTCCTCCCTCCCCTCCCCTCCCCCTCCTCCCTTTCCTTTCGTCTCCCCTTCCGCTCCCGTCTCCCCTCCCTCTTCTCCTTTTCCCCTCCCCCTCCCTCCCCTCCCTCTTCTCCTTTTCCCCTCCCCCTCCCTCCCCTCCTCCTCCCTCCCCTCCCCCTCCTCCCTTTCCTTTCGTCTCCCCTTCCGCTCCCGTCTCCCCTCCCTCTTCTCCTTTTCCCCTCCCCCTCCCTCCCTCCCTCTTCTCCTTTTCCCCTCCCCCTCCCTCCCCTCCCCCTCCCTCCCCTCCCCCGGGCTGCGGCCCCTCTGGCTGTAGGATGACAACTGGGGGGAGACTACCACAGTCGTAACGGGCACCTCCGAGCACAGCATCTCCCACGATGACCTCACGCGCATCGCCAAGGACATGGAGGACGGTGTCCCGCTGGACTGCTCCCGCCACCTGGGCGCGGCGGCCGGGGCCACGCTGGCGCTGCTCTCGTTCCTCTCGCCGCTGGCCTTCCTGCTGCTGCCCCCGCTGCTGTGGCGCGAGGAGCTGGAGCCCTGCGGGACGGCCTGCGAGGGCCTCTTCATCTCCGTGGCCTTCAAGCTGCTCATCCTGCTGCTGGGCAGCTGGGCGCTGTTCCTCCGCCGCCCCAAGGCCTCGCTGCCCCGCGTGTTCGCGCTGCGCGCGCTGCTCATGGTGCTCGTCCTCCTGCTCGTCGTCTCCTACTGGCTCTTCTACGGCGTGCGCATCCTGGACGCCCGCGAGCGCAGCTACCAGGGCGTGGTCCAGTTCGCCGTGTCGCTGGTGGACGCCCTGCTCTTCGTGCACTACCTGGCCGTGGTCCTGCTGGAGCTGCGCCAGCTGCAGCCGCAGTTCACGCTCAAGGTCGTGCGCTCCACCGACGGCGCCAGCCGCTTCTACAACGTGGGCCATCTCAGGTGTGGGCGCGGGCCCGCGAGCAGGCCGAGGGGCCTGCAGGGCCTGCAGGGCCGTGAGAGGCGGGTGGGCGGCGGGGAGGAGCCGCAGGGCCGTGGGCCGCAGTGCAGTACTTCGCACCCAGGAGGTTTTCAGCAGCGCAGGGTCCCGGGGCAGCTTGGACTGGGAGTTAGCAGTGGGGAGAGAGCAGTGAACCAGTGGGGACCTTAAAGAGGGCTGGGCCAAAGGGGCACGAACGGGGGCTTTTGGGAACCCCTTTCCTGGCCTTCTTGGAGGCACAGCCTTGGTGAGCCCTCAGGTGAGTGGTCACTGAGATGAGCTGGCCGGAGGAGGGACCCCCAGAGGAAAAGAAAACGGGGGAGTTCCTCTGCACCCCCGCCGGGCCATACGGAGTATCAGGAGCACCTCCTGGTCCCGGAGGGAATCTTGGGGAAGTCTTGGAGGGGGTGAGGTGACCCTTTTGGGGGACCCAGGCCCAATGCCCTTTCTCCCCTGGGCTTCAGCACAGCAGGGAAGGACTAGCAGGCCCAGCCCTGGGGAAGGCTTGGGAGCCTGGGAAGTCGACTTCCGGCCCTGAGCCAGGCTTCTTGGAAGCAGCTTGTCCCTGTCCTTGTCCTTTCCGGCCCTGCTCATCTGCCCTGATGTCTCCCTCCCCCGGCACCCCTTGTCTGTCCCTTCTCCCTCCCCCTCCTGCCGTCTGCCCCACAGCATCCAGCGCGTGGCAGTGTGGATCCTGGAGAAGTATTACCATGACTTCCCCGTCTACAACCCTGCCCTCCTCAACCTGCCCAAGTCCGTCCTGGCCAAGAAGGTGTCTGGCTTCAAGGTGTATTCCCTCGGAGAGGGTGAGCGGCCCTGCTCCCCTGCCCTCCCGTCCGTCCCCTCCCGGAGCAGGGCTCTGTACCTGCTCGCTCTGCTCACCCTGCTTGCTGTTTTTGTCAGCCTCTTCCCTTGCTTTCCCCAGCCCCGTCTCTTCTGTCATTTCCCTGGATTCCAGGTGGCTGGTGTTAGCTGCTGATTCTCCTCGCTGTCCCTTTACGCTGCGGCGTGTCCCCCACCACCCCCCGCCCCGTTCTGACTTCTCTGCGTCTGCTCACCAGCTCTGGTCCTAAGCCCTCAGCTCTCTGAGCTCCAGGTCCTCCTGCACCAGGAGGAGCATGTGCAGGACTCCTGCTCTCCGGGCGCTCCCGGTGGCCGACCTGTGGGCCTCTCCCAGCTGTGGCCAGGAGGGTTGGGAGTGGCGGTACCGCCCGGGGGTGGGCCCAGCTTCCTCCGGATGCGTCAGGTTGCTGTCTCCAGACTTGCTGGGATGGGAAGCGAGCATGCCCTGAAGTGACTTGTGCCCGTCTCTCCTGCTCCCGCGCAGAAAACAGCACCAACAACTCCACAGGCCAGTCCCGGGCTGTGATCGCCGCGGCGGCTCGGCGGCGGGACAACAGCCACAACGAGTACTACTATGAGGAGGCCGAGCATGAGCGGAGGGTGCGCAAGCGCAGGGCCAGGTGGGTCCCCGCTGGGTGAGGACGGGCGGGGGAGCCTGGGGGCCCGCCGGGTGAGGACGGGCAGGGGAGCCTGGGGGCCCGGCCCGCTGGGTGTGGGCTGGCCAGGAGAGGAAGACCAGCAGGCCTGTGCACCCGTCAGGATGGGGTGCGCTGTGAGCATCCGCGTCCTGTGGCTGCCAGGACAAATGCCGTAAGCTGGGCGCGTAAACCAGTGCACGCTTCTCAGCTCATAGTCCTGCCGGTCAGGCCCTCAGTTGGTGTCAAGGCCGAAATCAAGACCACGCCCACCTGAGCCTGGGTCCTCTTCCAAGCTCACTGGTCACTGGAATCAGTTCCTTGTCACCTGACCTCACGGGTCAGGATACGGTAGTTCGAATTTTCCTTTGACCTGTTCTTTCTCTCTGGAGAAAACCCTGCTTTTAAAGAGCTCATGTGATAAGATCAGGCTGGTCAGGGTCATCTCCTTGTTTTATAATGTCCAAGTCAACTGACTCGGCACTTGAATTATGTGTGCAAAACGTACGGAGTGAACCAAATAGCCAGGAGCCGGGAACCTGCTGGAGGTGAACGGGGCATCTTGGAATTCTGCCTCCCACCGTGGAGCAGGGACCTGGCAAACCATGTGAGCCTTGCCTGCAGCAGCGGGGACTGAGGCTGGACTGGGCCTCCTACCAGTAGCTCTTGGAGGCCTGCTTAGCTGATGGTACCTTTTTACCTGCAAAAAATGAGGTCCTGGCACTCATATCTTGGTACATTCCTAAGTACTGTCCTCACTCCTCCCTTTTTCCTGTTCACGTTATTATGTACGCTTAAGTCATGCCTGAAGAGTCTGTCTTGGTGCCTGCCACTGCCATGTCCCACCGTGGTGTGTTGGGATTTCCACGGGGCCTCCGACAGGAGAGGGCCCCGGCATTTGACCATCCGCCTTGCCCTCTGCCCCTCCTCACCCGGTCTCTAGGCTTTGAGGGAGGAAGTTATCCCTTCCCCTGTCCTGACATGAGGCTGGTGTCCCAGCAATGCTATTTCTTTTTTTAAGATTTTATTTAATTATTTGAGAGAGAGCATGAGCAGAGGAGCAGAAGGACAGGGAGAAGCAGGCTCCCCGCTGAGCAGGGAGCCCGATGCGGGACTCGATCCCAGGCCTCTGGGATCATGACCTGAGCTGAAGGCAGTCGCTTCACTGACTGAGCCACCCAGGCGCCCCCAGCAGTGCCATTTCTTTGACATTCCAGCATGTCTCCCGTTGTCTCAGAAATGGCCCTGGTGGGAAGGAACCCAGCGATGCCACACACGCCCTTCACCTTCTGCCCCAAGCAGGGTTTTTGGATCTCCTGTCCTGCTAACACCATTCTTGGCCCGTAGCGGACATTTCCTTCCCCTATTACCTTGGTTGTCACCAGGAGAAAGCTTTTCCCTTGGTTCACCCGAGATAAAAGGGTTTTTTCAGAAGGAGCTGCACCGAGACACAGAAGCACAAGAATAAACAGAACTGTAGCCGCATACGAGCCACAGTTTTCTGAGCCCAGAATCCCACCCTCAGCTACCCCAGGTTCCAGGTTCCTGGGTCTCCAGACGCCGCCATGTGTCTGTATGCGTTTAATGTAAATTGACTTCTTTTTCCTGCTTCCACCTTAACACCGTTTTTGAGACTCACCCCTGCTGCCCTTGACCCGGTGTGTGGCATCTTGTCGCGGCGAGGTGGTTCACGGGTGTGTCGCACCCCCTCGGCAGCATTTGGATTCTAGTGCTCTTCCTCTTTGCCTGTCTTGATGAGTAGCGCTGCATGAACGTTCTCATTCTCTGTCTGACGGCCGGCCGCTGAGGGCTTGCGTGTCTGCAGCCAAGCAGGTCTCACCTCTGCCATTTTGCTCTAGTGTTCTCGCCTTTTTCTTCCTGGTTTGTAGTCAGTTCCTTGCAACCCCACCCCCCAGACAGATGCTAACGTTGCCCATGCCCTGTGCTTGTCTGGTAGTTTGTCAGCCAGCGAGGCGTGATTCGGGGGTCTCAGGTAGGACGGCGTCTGCTACAGGCCCTGGCTGTCTCTGGCTTTGACCCTGGAGTCCCTGTGCTCGGCCCCCGGAGCTCTACAGCTGTCTCCTGCCTTGCCCCCCCCATCGCACTGTGCATGTGCACCCCCACACGCACACAGCCCCCAGAGCCCAGCCCTTGGCTCCAGGTGGGTTTGTGCTGTTTTGGCGGGGGGCGGGGGGTGCCCGAGGCCTGGCCTCGCTCAGGCTGCGGGAGGGCTGGAGCTGAGGGAAGGACGGGAGGTGGGCGTGTGGTCCAGGCCCCTCCTGTCCCCCAGGCTTGTGGTGGCGGTGGAGGAGGCCTTCACTCACATTAAGCGGCTGCAGGAAGAGGAGCAGAAGAACCCGAGGGAGGTGATGGACCCCCGGGAGGCAGCCCAGGCCATCTTCGCTTCCATGGCCCGTGCCATGCAGAAGTACCTGCGGACCACCAAGCAGCAGCCCTACCACACCATGGAGAGCATCCTGCAGCACCTCGAGTTCTGCATCACTCACGACATGACGCCCAAGGTAGGCTCATTCTGCTGCCAGCACCCTGCCTCTCCCCGCTCCGGCCTTCCTTGCCACGGGGTTCGCTGCACCCAGCCCTGCAGCCCTGCCCTCCTCTGCTCCCGCTCCGCCTTGTGGTCTCTTCTCCCATCCCTGCCCCACCCCGCGCCTCTGCTCGGAGTCAAGTTCCCAGGCGGTGAGGGGCAGGGGCAGCTTCCAGACTCCTCCGGGAATGGCCGAGACCTGACTCCCATCTCTCTAAGGGCTCTGCTATTGCCACACCGAGTCCCCCCGTCCCCCTTAGCTGCCACCGAGTGTTCTTTGTGCTCATTTCGAGCTGTTACCCTCCCCTCACTCAACTTTATTGTCAGCCTCCTAGAATTGCGTCCCCAACCACACTTGGTGAGCAGGGTGACAGGCTCCGTGAGAGCCGATGCAGGGGAAGCAAGAATGAGGGAGGGCTCGCGGTCCTGGCCTGCGGCGGGGAAAGTGCGGGGCGCAGGTCCTGACCCTGGGCGCCCCCCCGCCCTCTGTGGGCTCCGCTTCCCCATGTTTACAACAAGGGTCTGAAGCAGAGGAGCCCAGCCCCTTTCTGCTCTAATGTTCTAGATGGCGTGGAAGCAGAGCGTGAGCTGGGGGACATCTTGGTTGTCTCTGGAAGCTGTGCCCCCAGGGGGCGAGGGTGGCAGGTGGGTGGGAGAGATGCCCACGCAGCCCCTGGCCTCTCCCCAGGCCTTCCTGGAGCGGTACCTGGCGGCCGGACCCACCATCCAGTACCACAAGGAACGCTGGCTGGCCAAACAGTGGACGCTGGTGAGCGAGGAGCCGGTGACCAACGGGCTCAAGGACGGCATCGTTTTCCTCCTAAAACGCCAGGACTTCAGCCTGGTGGTGAGCACCAAGAAGGTCCCCTTCTTCAAACTCTCCGAGGAGTTTGTGGATCCCAAGTCGCACAAGTTTGTCATGAGGCTGCAGTCTGAGACCTCGGTGTGACCGAGCGCGGCGGCAGGGGGTGCGCGGGGCTCCTGCGGGCGGGGGAGGGCTCGGCTCTCGTCTCCCGCCGCCCTTCGGCCTCCTGCCCCTGTTTACTTTTACTTGAATTGATCCCCCACCCATCTGCTCCCCTCCTCCTTAGTTGCCCCACATGAGCCTCAAGAGGCCACCTGCGTCAGCAGAGCCTGGGAAGCTTGCTCTCTCTCCCCAGCCCTCACTTGGTGTCATCCTGCAGGAAGCCGTGCCTCTTGCCCTCCCTCTCCCTCCCGGATGGATGGCGGTCTCTTCTGAGAGGGGGCGGGGACCCCCTGAGCCCCCCACACGGCCCGAGTCAGGGGTCTCCCCGCCACGGTCATTGGCTTCGGCTGTCAGAGCCTCCCCTGCACATCCACACACATTCAGAGCGAGGGAAGATCCTACCCTTCACTCCAAAGTCTCTACCTTCTGTTTCTGAGTTGTATGGTCTGTGACCACAGGCAAACTGAGGCAGAAGCCCTCTGTGACCACGTTTCCTGGGCCATGGGGGACAGTGCCTTCCCTCACTGGGTCCACCCTGGGCAGCCTCTGAGCGAAGGACAGGAGCGACTCGGGGAACATCACAGATCCCTGCCCTCCGAATCTACCTGTATTTTCGTTCCCGCCTTGCTGGGGCAGGTTTCCCCTTCCTGCTGAAGGACGGCAAGTAGACAGACGCCAGCCCAGATTTAGTGGCTTGCAGACCATGACCCGACCCCCCAAGGTCTGAGACCAACATTCCCCGCCCCCCCGTGTGTCTTCTCTCAGTGCCAGGGACTTGTTGCCTCATCTCGTTTTGGGGGGAGCCAGTAGCCCCCTCGTCCCCTGCCTTAAGCCCACTTCTTTGCCTCAGGGGTCTCTTTTCCTTGGCTGGCCAGGGTGCCCTCCTGTCTCCCTGCCTGGTTCTCTGGGCGCTCGTCTCCTTCAGTGCTGGGGTGAGGGGCCAGGATTGCCGCCTTCATGGGTACACGTCCCTCACCCTGTTGGGCTTCTGTAGTCTCTACACCCAATCCGAATTTTCCAGAGTTCAGGTCTCGTTTTGAGCAAAATCCACTGGCCTTCTAAGACATATTTTCAGTGTACGTCTGAGCCTTTCACTCAGACGTGTTTCAATTACGTAGTTTTAGCTGAGGGAACTAGAACCTCCAGCTGGGGTCCACGGGGAGGGCCATTCGCGGCTGGGCTGGAGTGTGCCCTGGGGCCAGGCCTCTGAGTAACTCGCCGTGCCCCCTCTCAGGCCCATCTTCTGGCAGACTCACTGGTTCTTGCCACGCGGAGTGCCCCATGAGCTCTGATCCCCACTGGTCTCTGACCAGGGAGGCTTCCTGTCTGTGTAGGGATAGCCTGGGCGTGATGGAGCCTCGTGATGGCCTTTCCCCCCTTGTTCTCTTTGAAAAAGCACATCTGTCCACCCACCACTTCTGCAGAAGGGCTCTTCAGTTTGCGTTGAGCCCGATCCCTACAGGTGTGGTTTGGGGGCTGACTTAGGCAGTGCCCGAGGGAAATGCATCCTATCCTGGGGGTTGTGGGAAGGTATCTTTTCTTCTCTTCAAGGACCTGGTTTCAGAGGAGTCCCTCCTGGGTCACATTTCTAAATACCTCACTATCCTGGAAAATGGGGCCTGGATGGTGGGCAGGAGCGGGGTGTGGGGTGACGGAAGGACCGGGTTGGGGCGGGCAGACGGAACGTATTTGGGATCTTCGTTGCGGCCCTACGTTAGGGGCGGGGGAGTGTTTATTTTCAGAACCTGCCATGTTTTTAATCACTGTGATTTTTTCATTCCTTTTTCCTAAAACAAAAAGCAAACTTTCCCCCAACTCTCTAAGCACTAAGGGCTGTGACTGAGAACGGTAGTGTTTTGGTCCTTTGCGTCACAACTGTGGTATCTTTGTTTTCTTTGACGATTATTATAATTATTATTATTTTGTAAAGTGTCAGGATGAGTTGTCAAGTGTTTGGCTGCGTGTGTCTTTGCTTCTCCCACACGGGGAGTTGTCTTCATGCTGTGAACTGCTGTGGGGCGCGCCACGGGCCCAGGCCCTTGGCGCACTGTCCCCCCTGCTCTGCCAGTCCCGCCACGCGCTGGGTTTTCTTACTCTTCTCCTGTGGGGGCGCACCTACCTGCGGCCCCCCCCACTCCCCCAGGACACCGGACGTGTGGCTGGGTCTCTGTGACACCACAGCATCCTAGCTCCTCCCCACCCCACCCCCCAGGCCTTCCTGTCATCACCTTGGGGCACCCTGGGGATGCTGCACCTCAGGCCTTCACCCACCTCGCCACACTGCCGCGTCCCCACCGGTCCCCTTTCTCTGACACGACCCTTCACGCTCCGTTGACTCTCGCTTATTTCTTTTTGATCCTTCGTCGTCTCTCCCCATGCCTGTCCCATCTGAGCCTTTCATTTCTTGCTCCGCGTTCCTGTTGCAAACCCCGCCACGGTACCTGTGAAGAGGCATTGGGACCCCCCGAAACACCCCTTCCCAGAGTCTGTGCTTCTCTCCTCTGTGGGGCCCAAGGAGCTCCCTCGCCCCTCCCTGCTATCTGTCCGTCTGTCCGTCTTGTCTGTCTGCTCTTTCCCCTGCCCTTCCCCCAGGGCAGCATCTGCTGATGGATTCGGTCCTGGTGTGTGATTGTTGTGATTTGTTCTGTGCGCGAAAGGAAGGGGGCTTGTTTTGGGTCCCTTCCAAGTGAGATTGTAAATGTAGAATTTGCCACTGTTGAATCTAGATTTTTTTTTCTTTTCTCTCTTTCTTTTTCATTTCTTTCTTTCTTTTTCTTTTCTTTCTTCTTTTTTTTTTTGGGTTACAGAGACCTTGTGCATGCATGTAGAAAATTGTAAAATGTAAATTTTTTTTTAATATATAAAAAGCTTGTTTTTACAGTTTGCAGTGGATCTAAACATAATGGCAATTTTAGGGATTTTTTTTTCTTAAACATAGGAACTAAAACTGTACAAATTTTTTTTATATGAAATAAAAACATTTGACTTTTGTGGGGGCATTCTGTTGTTTTTCTTTTTCTACTGGAGTGGGAGCAAAAGAAGTCGGATGTGCTCCTTGTTAGGGGGAGAGCGGCCAGCAGGGGGCAGTGTGAGCTCAGCATTCCTCCGCTCGCCCTCAGGTCCCGTTTGACTGGAAACTACCTATTCTGAACCCAGATTCCAAGAAGTGAAGACTCGGTTGTTCCTTGGGGTGGTTGTCAGGATAAGGAGGAAGGAAAGATTACTTTCCGGGTGGATCCAGAGGATTTTCAGGCAGTTGGTGATTTCAGTCAACTGTGATAGCTTATCACATTTCATTGAGAAAAATTCCTGAAGTACCTCTCTTCTAAGTCTCTTCTCTCTCTCTCTCTTTTTTTTTTTAAAATGATTTTTATTTATTTATTTGAGAGAGCACAAAAGGGAGGAGGGCCAGAAGCACTCCCCGCTGAGCAGGAAGCCTGATGTGGGGCTCGATCCCAGGACGCTGGGATCATGACCTGAGCTGAAGGCAGACCCTTCACCGACTGAACCACCCAGGAGCCCCTCTTCTAAGTATCTTCTTATTCCTACCATCATCTCTCTGATCTTTCAGGCATGGCACAAAAAGAATCTTCTAGCAATAGTCATGTATTTAAAATGAAGACGTTCAGTTGGCAGTGTGCTTGTAATCAAGTACCAGAGTCGTCATCAAATCAGGGTCCTTCTCTCAGCTCTGCCCAGACCCACGCTTCTCTGGGACTTTGGGCACCAGGCTTCACCCATGAGCGGCCTTCTGGGGTTAAAGACAGACAAGCAAGCAAATGTAAACGCTCTTGTGTGGAGTTGACCCATTTCCTAGATTTGGTCTTCTCTCCCCAGCCCACACTTTGCCAGGCTGAGGATGCACAGACAAGAGACTCGGTCCTTGTCCCGCAGGAAGAGCCACGTGTATAGGAGGCCCGGGCCGGACATCTAAGGCACCAGGCCAAGTCCCCGCGGCTGCATTCACGGCCACAGCGCACATGGGCCCTGGCCGGACTCCCAGGAGCTTAGGGAGGTTTTCTCCAAGAAATTTAAGGAGTTTGTTTAAGAATCAAGTTCGGGTAACACAATCTCTTTGAGCGGAGGGGCTTTATCTGTTTGGTTCACCTAAGTATTCCTGGCATCTATGCCATTCCTCACATACAGTTGGTGCTCAATAAAAAGAAAATTACTGAATGAGTAGTGAATTCAAAAAGCTAACAATATGATGGGGGCACATGAAAGGGGCCATATCCTTCTCCCTTTAAAATTGCGCTCATCTTTCTCATGTGAAAATGAATAAAAACACAAGCCTTGAAACGTCATCCCCTATCCTCATGATTGTCCTTCTGGGAACGAGACTTACAGTTTCACTTACTGTTTCCAATTCACCTCGAAGCCAACTTTTAACTGTGACAAAATTTCTACCCTACCATGCTTCTGAAATTATTCTTGTTCTTCGTAGCCAAGCACAACAAATACCTTGGTCTAGTGAGTCTTTATTCAGTGCCCGTGATGCCCCCAGCCTGGTGTGAAAGCAGTTTGTTTGGCAAAGGCTGCGGATGTGTTCCTGCCTCCACTGACCCAACGTTGTGGGTCTGTCTGAGGAGTCTGTCTTTAACCTCCCAGACCTCCTCCTCCACTAACACTGGCCCCAGGAGTTAATAGATTTAAGGCCAGGTCTCAGTACTTGATCTGTGGGATCATATTTTCTCTTGGGGTTTGCTGAAAGCAGAAGTGATAGCCCCGACCACTTGTCACGGCTCAAAGGGCATTTGTAACTGCCGAGAGGACGCGCTTTTTCCATGGAAGTATTTCCCAAATCACTGAAGCCCGGGTCTCAGCTCGTGTGCTGTCGGGATAACGCCAGACTTCTCCTGGACATTCCTGCCCAGATGTGATTTTCCAGCCTTTGTCTCTGAAATGAGGCCAAAGGGAAAACCCGGCGCTGGGGCTCTGGGAGGAGAGCCATGAGAATTTTTAGACCAAGTTCTTAGCAAATCTTACACACTTTTTTGTTTGGGTCCATTGAAACGGCTTCTACAGAACTGAAAAACAGCATAACGGAGGCCCTGACTTTTTATATGTTAGTTTAAGCATTGATGGAAATACTCCCCCAGTTGCTGGGAAGGCTGGGGTGGGAAGAAGTCAGCCTTTGGAAAACCATCACAGCTTAGTGCACAAGTGGTCATGGAAGATGTTAGAGAGTAGAGGACCATCCGCACAGGAGAAAGATCTTGGGGAACAGTTATCCCTGTACTAGCTCTCTGGTTTCTCTGTGGGCTGAGAATGGGGTCTGTTTCCCTCATTTCGAACCGCAGGGCAGATGTGATATCCTAAGAACCCATAACAACAATGCCAAACTTAAGTACATGTGGAAAAGCGGGGGAAGGTACTGGCCGTGTTGGGAAACCTGGGCAAGGCATTGGCTTCTCTCATTCCCATCTGAGCAAGTTTTGGGGAGACATTGTATGCTATGCAATGAGATACAAAGATAAATAAAACATTGTCCCCTCTTCTAGTTCATGGGACTTTGGCTAGTAAAACTGCAGAAATTTTATTATTTTGTCACCTGTTCTCAGCAACGCAAGGAAGTCAACTTTACCTCAGGTGGGACGCACTGAAGCCAATGCTTGGGGAGAGCGTGGAGCCTGGTAGGTAAGCTGTTGGATGTCACCACTGAAAAAGAGCCGTTTCTACTCTCTGGGTCCTGTAATGGGGACCACTTGGGCTGAGAAATGCTAGAGGACTCTGAGATCTTCAGTTGTGTCCTGTCCTTTCTGCTTGCTTTATGGGCACAGTTAGCCCATTCTGCTGCCTCACCCAGGACACTATGTGGTTGAAAGTGAAAGTGGGTTTTTAGGAATTACAGGGCAGTGAAATTACTCTGCATGAGACTATAGTTGTGGATACATGTCAGTATAAATGTGTCCAGATCCACAGAAGGTCCAACACCAGGAGGAAAATCTAATGGAAGCTGTGGGACTTTGGATAATAATGTGTCACTGTAGGTTCATCAGTTGTAACAAATGTGGGGCTCTGGTGGGGTGTGTGGACATGGGGGGCGCCTCTCCCTGTGTGGGGGGCAGGGTGCCTTTGGGAACTCTCTGTACCTTCAGTTCCCAGTTATGTTCTAGCAAAAGATGAGTCTCTTCGAGAATAGCAGAGAATTGCAATCCGGAACTAGCAAGCTGTGGTAAAAGTCACAGGCAAGTCTAACAAACAAAGGGGAGGAGCATTATTTTATGGGGAAGAAGGAAGAAGTTGGGAAGGGTTGTTTTGAACAAAAGTCCATTGGAGGGGTGCCTGGGTGGCTCAGTCATTAAGCGTCTGCCTTCGGCTCAGGTCATGATCCCAGGGTCCTGGGATTGAGCCCTGCGTCGGGCTCCCTGCTCAGTGGGAAGCCTGCTTCTCCCTCTCCCACTCTCCCTGCTTGTGTTCCCTCTCTCACTGTGTCTCTCTCTGTCAAATAAAAAAATCTTCAAAAAAAAAAAAAAAAAGTCCATTGGAGAGAAGCAAGAGTTTAGGATAATGACGGCTTCTCATGGGCTGAGTCATGGGGGTGGTCGGTTTCTTGTAGGAGATGCAAGGCACTTTTCCCATTGGGGCCTGTCATTGATGATTCTTTCCAGTGAGATTTTTTTGAGGTTTTATTTATTAATTAGAGAGAGAGCATGAGCAGGGGAAGCGGCAGGCAAAGGGAGAGGGAGAAGCTGACTCCCCGCTGAGCAGGGAGCCTGCTGTGGGGCTTGATCCCAGGACCCTGAGATCATGACCTGAGCCAAGGTCAGACACTTCACCGACTGAGCCCCCAGGCGCCCCTCCAGTGAGATTCTTCTGTTAGGGTCTGTGATTGACAGTTCTTCCTGTAATTGACATTGAATAGTAGGGCTCCCCACCCAGACCCTCCTTCTAGCACCCAGAGTCCACTTCAGTGAGGTGTCTTTTTTATTAATTTTCACATTGTGAACCTTAGACTGCTCTGGAATATAAAGTCTGGTCAAAAGGTAAAACGTCCAGTTGTAAGATAAGTAAGTACTGGGGATATATATAATTATAGCCTGAGGACTACAGTTAACACTGCTGTATGATGTATTTGAAAGTTGCTAAGGGAATAGATCCTAAAAGTTTTCATCACAAGGAAAAATCAGTTTTTCCTTTTTTTCCCTCTTTTCTTTTTTCTTGTATCTATATGAGATGATGACGGATGTGGACGAAACTCATTGTGATCATCATTTCACAATATATTGTAGTCAAGTAGTTATGCCCTACATGTTAAACTTACATAGTGCCAGTGAAACTGAAAGAAAAAGAAATAAAATCTATTTAAAAAACAAACCCAAACCAAACATAACCTTACTTAGTCCCAGATACAGACCTAGTAATCAAAGTAATAGTGTAGGCACTTGTCATTCGGGAAAAAAAAAAAGTGGAAGTGTCTGCTGTTTCCCCTGGATCCCTGAAAGCCTGCCGTGGAGCTTGGAACTCTGCTAAAGCCCCTGGAAAAGGAGGGTCTGGTGGCCCATCCACGCCTTGACAGCTGGAAATTTGCATGAATGGGCTTGAATGTGTCAAGAGACAGGTGGTTTCACTTACGGGTAGTTTTCGCTCCTTTCAAGTTCCAGTTAGTGTTTGTTCTATTTGACACAGGATGTGTGATTTTAGGGTGAGGTTGCCTGGGATAGTTTTTACTGCCATAAGGAGTTGCTGCTGAAGGCACAAGCTTTCTGTTAAAAGATGAATAAACCCTGGGGGTCTGCTGTACAGCACGGTGACTATAGTTGATGACATGATGATGTGTGCCTGAAATTTTTTTTTGCAAGTTTGTATAATCATTTTATTATCATCATTATTATCATTATCATTTTACATTTAAGTGTTTAATTGTGTATTATTTTGCTATAATGTCTTTATTCAAGTTAAAAACACATATCACCCCCAAAATTTTTACATTCAGAAAAGAAACCATTAACATATGATAAACATCATCCCAACTAGGTAATTACACATCTGCACAAAT